TGGTTGGCCTGTGTGTTTTTGAGCAGTCATGTCCCAGACAAAGTGTCTTATGCCCTGATTGTTCTTTTTACATGTATTTTGTATATTTTTTTGGATGAAGCTGTGAAAAACTTGCTTGGGTGAAAATTTTCTGTCCCCCTGTGATATTTATAGGGGCAATTCCCATATTTCTCATTTAAAACTCTCACTTCAGGTTTTTATTGAAGACAGAAAAAGGTGTCTTTCCTGTTCTTTTTCATCTTTGTTTCAGTACTCATTGTGCAGGTATGTATTAGCTTGGTAAAGCTGTAAAATAGCAAAGTTGTGATGATCATCACTGGAGGTGGAATAATTTAAAGAAGTCTTTGCAGTCTAATCTGATGTTTGTGCTTCAAAATAATGTGAGAGAAAGATGCCTTTATGCCTTTCTATTTACCAAATACTTGGAAGTAAACCTTGAAAAACCACCATGGTAAAGAGCAAATAATTTTCTTCACAACATACGAGTTTTTTCTTTCTGTGTGAAAAGATGGAATTCTTGCCAGCCATAAAAGTTTTCGGAAGATTGCTGCTATTTTCCCCTTATTATATTTCAAATAGTAAACCACACACAAAATTATTGACAAGCTTCCTCAAAAAAGGTATCCAGGTTTGACATATCTTGCTAAAATACTATTTAACTTCTTTTCAGGTAGAAAATGAAGGATATAAGAAGGGAAGATCAGTAAACAGTGCTGAAATAGATAATTTAATTTTAAGAAAGAATCTCAAATGGTGAATTGCTTCTGGAACCTTACTCAACTGCCTTTGGAGCCAGTGGGAGGCTTTAACTTTTCCCAAGATGGCAGTGAGGCTCACTCTCACTACAGTGCCTCTCTGCTCTTCTATATATATGATCTACAATATATGTATTTTAAAAACATTCAAAGCATTAAATTAAATGGAAGTCTTGTACTTGGTGAAAGCTGTCTGTGTGCCTCATTCAGATGCTGAAAGTACAATTATCAAGAAAACATCAGCTTTCTAGTTCACTAAGGAATGTGGTTGTGGCTGTGTATCAGTCTGGTGCATACCAAATTTTGAAGACTTTTTTTTTTTTAAGAGAAATTGTAGCTAGAGAAGCTACAATTTTAAAATTAATGGTCATTAGGTTTTCCAAACCTCTTAACTCAGCTGTGGGTGAAACCAAGAACAGAACAAAGAACTTTGCACTAGGAAGCATGGTTGTAGCTTGAACATAATCTTACTGACATAAACTAAACAAGAATTTCAACAGAGGAAAAAGGGAATTAAGAAGTCGGATCTTGTTAATTAAGGTTTTGGCAATCTGACTTTCCTTGGTCCTTTTTGAAAACCCCAGTGTAGGATGCATCATGAATGGTGTTTGAATTACTTGTATCTTTGCTGACTACAATGGGAGGAAGGTTCCCTGTTGTGCTCTCCTGGTTGCTGTATTAGCCATCAGGTGCAAATTTCTGGTAGGAGGGAGATTCTGCGTTCCCTGAGAGCATCTGAGCGTATTTCTGTGGGGCAGCTTTTCACAGAGGATGGGGTAGAGACTGGTCAGAAAGGAGCCTGTGTCAGGAATGGAGACTGAGGAGGAGAAAACAAACATTCTCAGTAAATGCTCAAACATGGAAACAAAGACTTTCCTTTAGGAATGCATAGGGATTATGCAAAATTAGATTGTTAATGGATTGAGAACAAGCTTGGAAAAAACCCGAAACCATAGTGGACTAGGGAGTTACTTAAAAGTCTTCTATTCATCTTGCTTTAGTGTTACTGTTTAAGAGTTCCATGTTTTATGTATTTTTCTAATAACACCAAGCTCTGGAGCTTACAGTGCTTTTAGTGTTTTGATGATGCTTGTTCTGAAGAAGTGCAGGCAGCTTCTCCAAGCACTTGGTGACTCAGGGTCTTGTAACGGTGGTGTCAGAGACAAGATGTGAATCTGAAGGCAGCCCTGGGCTCGGGGGCTGAAGCTGGAAGTGAGCAAAGACATATGTCCTCTGAAGACTGAGACAGAACATTTTATTTTATTTATATTTTGAAGAGACAGTAGCACAGAAACATTCCCTCAAGTCTAGAAAAGAGCTGCAGAGTGTGACATCTCTTTCCTCAAAGGGTTGGCCAGAAATTTAGCTAGTGTAGCTCCTTGTTGATCCAGGTATCTTTGTAGCACCTGAGAGGAATGTATGTTATAGAACCTAAAAGAAATCAAAGTCAGGCATTGGATTCATCTCATGGCTTCGATGCATAACCTTTATCTATAGGGAGCAGCAAGACGGTTCGGGAACCCAAGAACGGAGTCAGATCACTAGATAGGCAGAGACTGGACTGGGATTAAGAAGCTTGAGCAGGAGGAACATGCTGAGCATAACACACTGCACGGGTGGGGTTGCTCACAGAAACAAAATATTTGAAGAGTATGTGTTAAAGTGAGTATGTTTAACATATATACATCTTACAAAGGTTTACAAAATACATTAAAAAAAAAAAAGCTAGCAAGACCTCTCTTACAGCCGTTGAAATTATTTACTTGCTATGGGATGATAAGGATAGGGAAAAGCTGCAGTAGCTCCATCACCTACTACAGGTGATGACTCTAAAAGTCATCTTATTGAGAGATGCTTTTAGAAGGATGTAGGATTTAAATCAAGGTAGAAGAAGCCTTGCAACACAACTTTTGAAATATTCTCAGAGCAGTATCATCCTGACATGAAGGCAAATGAAAATGGGAGGCATTAGTGCCTGTTGAGAACTGGATGCCCTGTTTTTGGAAACATCCTAGTGGTTTAAAAGGACTAACACTGGGCAGTTGGTCATGTACCAGGTTTGGGCTGGAACAATGATAGATTAACACTCTGAGTTGACATTGTAGATAAAGTTCTGTCTGCCTTATGAGAAGCAACAAAATGAGGTCGCAGGTACAGAGTGAGATGTGCTTGAAGGTGGTGTTGATACCTGAGGCAGGGAGGAGAAATCTACTTTTCCTCAAAAGAAGCATAGCCGTTTGTGATAAAAGGGTCATTTTGAGGCTTTGGAGGCTCAGTCTGTCAGAGATGCTTGAGAGAACTGGGAAAGAGAAGGGTTTTCTCCTGCATTAACAGGACATGCAGAAGATCATATCTAATTGTGAAGAGGAGGAAAACATAAAATGCTCTCAATACTCCACAGTATTTTGGCATGCCAGTTCTGCAGGGAGATGCCCCATCAGATGCAAACCAAAACAAACCTGATGGACTGAAAGGGAGGCACGTTGCCTCTCCTAGAGGGTGGAGGTATAGATGGCAGTGTACCATGGGCTGGTGGGACAAGGGAGTTGAGAAAACTCGTGTTCATCCTAAGCTGTATCTAGAAATGATTAAACAGGTGTCGCTTGTGGAACTGCTGGGGAACGAGGGAAAGAAAATGCCTGTTCTTGTCAGCTCATCTTTTAGAAACCTTGCTCATAAAGGGGCAAGTTATGTGACTGAAAAGGATGCGCAGGAGGAAACAAGGAGAAACTACAGAACCCACCAGGAAGGAGGCAACCTATGTAGGACTGCTTAAACATGCTTTGACCTTGGTGGGTTTGGATGAGGAAGGGAAGAAGGGAGAGATGGAAAATTGTTTCCTATTCCAATTTTCAGTCAAGCAAGTGATAAAAGAAGGCAAGAAAGGGGGAAGGCGGCAGTGCAATTTGGTGGTTATGCAGTAAGTTAAAAGATTAGTTTTAGGTGGTTCTGAGGTTTGCTGTGACTTTGGAAGTGCCTATCAGGAGCAGAGTGCTAGAAGGGAGGACTGTGGAAAGGGTTGGGTTAGACACATAAGCAGTTTTTTTCCCTGGGGACCAAAGCAGGGTATGTCGTGTTCCCTTCAAGTCAAAAATGTACTGAGTTGCTAGGCTGAGAGCAAGCCTGAAGGAGAGGACCTGCCCTGGAAGGACAGAGTAGGCACTGGGGAGATTGTTCATGAACCCTTTCATTTCTATTACTTCACTTTAATTTTTTTTTCTGTGAAATAAATAAGTATTTCCTCTAGGTTGTTCTAGTAAAACTCAGGTCTAGAATTAACAAACATATTCTTGTGGCTTTTAGGTGTCTCGTTATGAAAAGGTGCAGGCAAATCCACCTCCGTGGTGCTGTCTTCCTTGAGGTCCTGCCAGGCAATTTGTTAGTAATCAAAATACTTGTATATGAGTGAGGCATTGAGAAATCATTGTTAGCTTGGACATATTAATAGATCCTTCCTATCTTTCATGAGTCAGCCTCTGGGTGCAGGAGTGACCATTTGCATGACTGACAGTTTTAGTGAAAATTATTTTTCTACGGCTTACTGTTAATCTATTTTTTGCTAACAAAGTGAACATGAGAAAGAAAAAAGATTTTTGAAAAATTGAAATTCATACTTTGGTCAGTGACAGAAAATATAATTAGGGTTTGGTTTGGTTTTGGGGTGGGGTTTTTTGGGGTGGGGTTGTTTTTTTCCAACGTACACATGGTCAGCTTTTGAAATAATGAAAAAGGGAAAGGAAAATGTTATGTACTTTTAGACAAGCTATATGAATGCAAAATTAGGTGCTTTGGTAGGCTTTTAATTGTGTTTTAAGCAAACAAAACTTTCCTAGTTTTGCAGTTAAATGAAGTTTGAAGCAATTTGCTGTATGATACAAAATGCAGTGATTCAGCATTCATGATGAGAGCTATTTATAGTTACTCTATTTTTATTCAAAGAAAAACAATAGCACTGAATTTCAGGCAGTTGACCAGACACTTAGGAAGGTCTCTATTGAAGCTGAGGAAAGTCTCATATTGCTTGATCTTGAAAACTGAACTCGTGAGCTCCTTTGGCATCAACATTTTAGTGCTGTCCTCCCGAAGGTGAAATTCTGTGCTGTGCTGGAAAACTACACAAGCAATGCTTCTTGAAGCCTAGTTTGTATCCACTGTTCAGGGGCTATCAACATTCATTGTATTTTACTTTTGAAGAATTGAGCAATATAATTAATCTCTCCTAATTTTAACCATCTCTTTCAGGTTTTCACAACAGTTCTGTTACCCTGCTGCTGCAGCCAATGCAGATCCGAATGCCGTGGCTACAAAGGCTTGTTACTTTCTCATGCTGGATCCCTCAAATCCAAGAGCTACTTGGCAGTTTCCAAGGCAACCACCTGTGGAATAATTAAAAAGGTTGAAGTGTTAGTATGCCAGATAGAAGGAATTCTTGCCTGGAGAGAGCACTTCATTTTCATCTGCCTTGAAGAATCAAATGTGTTTCTGCCAGCAAAGTTAAGGTAGTACGATTAAAAAGTACTGATTTATTTTCTGGAGGTACTGAAAGTTTGAGTAGGAGCAACAATCCTAATATGACTGTATACTATTCACTTAAGAAAATTACCATGGATCTTTCTGTGTTAATTTTTTGGGTATGTTTAAACAGAAAATCCAGGAGAAAGATGATGATGGAAAGGCAATGTGGGTGAACAATATTTCTTATCAGTAAAACAGTTGCATGAACTGTTTTGTACTTTATGCTGTCTTTCCCCACAGATGATTTTAAGCTGGTAGGGACTAAAATGGAGCATACATTAGTGGGAGCATAAATATAGGAAGTGCAGCCTTCATGCCAAGTACACTGAGATTTCTTTGGCATTCAGTGAAGTGATAGATATAAAAGGAATGTAGGAGTGGGCTCACTGCAAAATGACAGTCAGAATCAAGGATCGATCTTTATCCCATAGCTTAAAGGGTATGCAGTGATTAAGTTGATGTTGAAACTGAACTGATAATCAGGTTTAGCTTCTTTGGTGAAGCAGCAGCTAAAACCATTTTGAAGACCACATTCCCAGATTCAGAGCTGAAATTGCATAGTGGAGAAATCAAAAGGTAAGCAAAAGAACTGTTAGAATAACAAAGAATAACAAAACCAGCAAATTTAGTTGTGGAGGTTTGAAACATTGTTACAAAAGTTTATGGTAAAGCTGTAGGCTCTAGATAACTGGAAAAGTTCTTCTTGAAGTATAATACATTACTGGATATATCTGCTTATTATATCTTCCTTCTCTGCCAGTCATTCAAATATATTTGAATAGAAAAATATTACTCATTTTTGACAATGAAGTTAAATAGAGAAAGCCACATTCACATTCTTCCCATAGTCCAAATAACTGTTCAGTTAAGTCTGGTTACCTAGCTTGATGCTTTTGTATAGTTAATTTTAGGCATGATGCTTTTGTGTAGCTTATTTTAAGGAAAAAAATGATTTCTATATTTTGAAGTAGAAATATTTGGGATGCCATTTGGGCTTTACATAATAAATTTTTACTGCCAAAATGTTTGTGGGATTCTGTTGGGATGTGGATGGGATTTCACATTCCATCCCTTCCACAGCACAAGAGGATCATTGTTTTTAGATACGGTGGGTCCAAGAAGAAATAAGTATTGTGGGATGGCAGCTTTGTGATTTGAGGTAATACAAATAGAACCTATCCAGTAATAACTGTTACCTTTTACAGCTGTTACAGAATTTCAGAAGCTAATACTTGTAGGTACCGACTACAACTGCAATTTTCAATCCTAATACTTGATTTCCAGTTCATTGGTTCATTGTCACCATGGCTTAACTGCCAAATTGATTTTTGTTTTGAAGGAATTCTTCAGACTGTTCAGTTCCTTTCAGTATGGAGCTGAGGAAAATGTTTTTTGAGACAAATACTGTTTTCACATGTGAAAGGAGTATGCTGGTAAAGTACCTGCACCGGGCACAGTGAAGATGATACAAAAATGAGACACGGTGCAAGTAGTGTAAGGGTAGTCAGTGTGTGCGGATCCAAATCTTTCGCTTTCCAAGAGGCATAAGCAACTCTCAGAGATGGAAGTGCATAGCTGTGGAAGAGCATATGTGTGTGTTTGTGTAAGACTAATGTAATAGCTAAGTAGCAATCACGTGAAGTAGTGCTGGATTCCCAAGAGTGTACACAGAGGAGAAGTTTCATCTTGGACACCCCTAGAAAATATACTAAACAAATGCAAGTACCTCACTTTTTCTGTTTCATCTCAAATACTGTGGGTGAGATTCTTTTCAGGAAACTTAGATTTCCAGATACTGCTGAAGCAGGTGGTGAAAAGCAGGTAGGATGAACAGCTCCCTGAAGGTACCTATTCCAGACCCCCTTGAAGTGGATGACTTGCCTCTAAAAAGGTACCTCTGGAAAGGAACCTTTCTTTCCATAGATGGTTCAGCCTGGACCAGTAATTTAGCCTAGATATCTTCACATTTTAGACACTTCAAGTGCGTAATTACATGCATTTATATGTGCAAGTCATCTATGCTTTTTTCTCTATATTTCATTCCCAATCCAGAGCTTTTCATGCTAAGTGGAGTTGCACTTGATTACTGGTACAACCCACTTGATGGTCTTCCTTTTCCCAGCTTGGATGTTTGACCCTGGCAATTTTTCTAGACTTCATATACAAGCCTGTGGTTCAGTATCAAGGATAAAGGAGAGCGGTACGGAGTTTGTTAACATAGTTTCTAAGAGAAATAAAAACATGCATGCTAAATTTAGGCAGCTGTGCTGTGAGAAAGAAAATATAATGGCCAGGCAGAATTGATTTCTAATGTCCTGTATGTAGCTTATGTTTTAATAATCTTCATCCCTGAAGTTTTACAGGACTGAAGGGGAGTAGAAACTTAGGAGCAGTGATTTGTTCAATAATTTTAATTTCTTAAAGTGATATAGTACATGTCAACATAGAAGTTGTTTTTGTAGCCTTGGCTATTAAGAATTAGTGCTACATGCACCCATAAAAAGTAAAACTTTCTTTGTACTCCTCTTTCTGTAACAGAAGACTTATGTTATGCTCCATGTTGGAGTAATGTGAAGTCCTTTTGAAAGGAGAAAAAAAAAAAAAAGGGAAATAGTGATATGGTAATTTTCTTAAAGATTATTTTGATACTGTGATTCCATTTTTCCCCTGTTTCTATACCATCAGAATAACTGTATCAAAAGAGTCAATTACAGTGTGGTAATCGGAAAGTGTCATTAAAATATCCATTAATTTTGTTAAGTAAATAGGACTGTTGCCTAGAATAGATAACTTTCCTCTTGTTGCTTGGAAATCCAGGTAATTTTTCAGGTTGAGATTTTTCAAAGGGAGTTTTTCCTTCTAGCAAGAGGAGCCTAGAGTAAAAATGTAGAGGAAATTTAGGGAAAGAGCAATAAGCAGCAAGTCACCTTCCAGTTAGTGGAAGAGGGAACTTAAATAATGAATGGACCCCTTTGCCTAGGCTTTGTTTTGGAGACCTGATCCCTACATCTCTGGAGGTTTAGGGTATATCAGGCTGGGCAGATACATCAAGCATCTCATTAAGATGTTGTAGAAAAGTTTTTCACCTTCCCAGAGAAGAAGAAAAATCTCTGGGAATATCAGTCACTGGGACACTGTCTAAAGTTGTGTATCTTAAGGTTTTTGGAACTGTCTCTTTGCTCTCTGGCTCCTTGGAGATCAGAAGAGAGTTACCTGCCCAAAAGTGGTAGTAGTTTCCCAGATGCATCAATACAGGACACTATTTTTGCCTGTCAGTACCACTATAAAAATGTGAAACTCCAGTAAAATGCCTTGTACTCCACTGTATTGTGCATAGCCTTCCGAGTGACTAGCCACTGTTCTAAGAGCAGTTACAGTGACAGCAATCACAACACCCTTTCAAAGTGAGAGAACTATTTTGCTGTACTTGGGTAGATGAATGGTTTATGGGGATCTGTCCTGGTTTTGGCTGGGATAAAAGGCAATTTTCTTTCTAGTAGTTGGTATTGTGCTATGTTTTGGATTTAGTATGAGAATAATGCTGATAACACCGATGTTTTCACTTGTTGCTGAGTAGTGTTTATACTAAGTCAAGGATTTTTCAGCTTCTCATGCCCAGCCAGCAAGAAGGCTGGAGGGGCACAAGAAGTTGGGAGGGGACACAGCCAGGGCAGCTGACCCAAACTGGGCAAAGGAATATTCCATACCATGTGATGTCATGCCTGGTATGTAAACTGGGGGGAGTTGGCTGTGGGGGGCAGTTCACTACTTGGGATGTAGGTGAGCATCGGTTAGCAAGTGGTGAGTGATTGCATTGTGCCTCACTTTTTATATATTCCAATTCTTTTATTACTATTATTGTCATATTTTAATTATTATTACTGTTATTATTATAATTCATTATAATTATTTCCTTCCTTTCTGTCCTATTAAACTGTCTTTATCTCAACCCATGAGTTTCGCTTTTTCCCTATTCTCTCCCCCATCCCACTGGATGGGGGGGAGTGAACAAAGTGGCTGCGTGATGCTTAGTTGCTGGCTGGGGTTAAACCATGACAGGATCAAATGAGCATCGCCATTTTAATGGTTTTGCAAATAGAATTCTCTAGATGATAGACCTTACGCTTAGTCACAATTTCCCTTTATCCCCACCAGCTATTACTGCTGTGCATTTTGGATATGCTTTTTTCAGTGTAGTCCAGAGGACTTTCCCTGACAAATTACGCAGAAAGTCCAGAATAGAATAAAAAGATAAGTCCACTTTATTGTCACTCTAGGACCAGTTTAGCCCACTTTGGAATCAATTAAATAACTGATAAAACATATACATATTTTTTTAGCAGCAGAGTTGCTTGTATTAATCTACTTACAACTCCCCCTTTGTGATTTGGATTCTTGCTAAATTGGGTATCTTTGCTTTTTCCTGGTATTAAAAAATAAAAGAAAGACTTCAGAATTACAGAATCATATTTGGTTGAGAGGTGGAATGTGACTTTAAATTGCTTTTCACAGTGAATGTTTGGATATTTGTCACAGGCAAGGAAGAGGTGCTAACATCTGACAGTTTTTTGGGACCTTATACCTGTGCTAGATAAAATGACTTACAGAGAGGTAATGAATGTAAGACTAGAAGAGCAGCTGTTCTCGTACACGCGTCTAGAGCAGTATTTTTGTCTCCAGCAGTAGCCAAAGGTGGGTAACTGAGAAGCACAGGAACAGAACGAGAACATAGGATCCTCCTTCCACATGCTATTCAATCTCTGGACATCTGTAGTACAGGGATTTAATGAGCTGGATGTCTTTTTTTTTTTTTTTTCCCCCCCGATGTGTACTGGACTTGTGTTTGGAATTTGTTAAATCTTCCTTTCAAGCCATGAGAAGTATTAGGAAGTATAATACTTTCTGGTTCCACAGCTTAACTAACATAACAGCCTGTTGGGTGAAGAACTGTATTTTGTTAAGTTTTGAACCTGAACTTGGTTTA